AGTGAATACCGATTTGTATCGGTATGAGGTTAGGTTAGCAGTCAAACGCATACGTGACTCTGCAAACCGTTTGAACGATTTCTTTAATCCTGTATCACAGTATTTCTGTATATACAAAATACTGTGCCTGTATTCTTGATGAGTTCCTGCTAGGATTTTCTTCAGAGCCATAATCATACTGACTATCCGTGACGTCACTTTCCACCTGCGGATCACACATCTTGGCTATTGCGTCACAGCACCATATGTCAAATTCCAAAATTTTCACAATGGAAATATACAGCACGTAAATAGTATCTAATGTTATGAGAATCAGAAACGTAAATGCCAAACGTGAATCTCTACATCTTTGTTTAGTTGTTGGAGTCCGTTCTCTCTTGAATAGCAGCCGTCACTGTATATATTTCATAGTTGTGCTGGATGACAAATCAGTGTTTCTCCAATGACGTCACGTATTTGTTAAGGTGAGTTCTTAAAACCAACTGAAAATTTGTTTTGATTTAACAAATAGAAACGCGCTAACGTTTCGAATCGACTAGAAGATGAATCCATATGATGCATTTAAGAACTCATCTTTCATTCAACTGGTTTCTTGGTGTTTGGACTTTTTTTAGTGTAAGAATTATGTTATACAATAACAATAACTGAACAATCTGAAAATTCGTAAGAATCCTTACAGTAGAAATGCGAGTTTCTTAAAATTATTCATTGAAGCCAACGTGAATTCAATACCGCTCTCATCCTGAAAACACACACCTCATGAGTAGAGTAAGACAAAATAGATGAAGAGATTCAAATTCTCAAACCGCTGATACTCTTGAAAATCAATCAAGTGTCCATCATTAATTTCGATGAAAAATAGTGTGAATTTTCGATAATATCTAATTTCCTTTGTTGTTTGGCTGAAATTTTGATTAAATTCTGGTTTAATTTATTTTATGCCTTCTCAAAACTTGTTTCTCGGATTCTGTCCCAATTCTGGTGAATTTCAACGATGTTCAATATCTCGTTCATAGTAGAAAAAAAAATTCAACTGAATTGGTACACCTCTAACAAAACTGCTGTTTTACACTGCCGAAGACTCAACATTTTATTTTTACGTAGGCGCTCTAAGATAATTATTATATTTGGATAATTACATGATAGTATTTTCTGAAAATTTTAATTTCAACAGAAAATACATTCCTTACATAAAAGTAAAAACAGAACACTGGAAATAAATAAAAACAATCTGAACTCTTTCAACAGTTACACATTAAACAACGTGGTACTGCCAATAGTCTGAAGAAATGAAAACATTTATAAAAACTGAACAGTTGAACTCTTTATCACAGATGGAAGCCAACCAAAGTTTTTAGTCTTTGAAATCTGGAGAGTCGTTACGTTTGACGTAAACCTCGCCAAATTTGCTCATATATTTGCGAATATATTCTCTTGCTTTCATCTTGACATTATCTGTGCATGTAAGATCTTCAATTTTAGAAATGTGCTTCATCTCTTTCAGCATCACGAAGTGGGTCAACTAAAAAAAAAATTAGAGTAGCATTAGTTTTGTTTCCATTATCACCCTGTTGATACAAATTTCCCGGAAAAATCGTTTTATACTTGCAACCCCTGATTATAGAGAAATAAATTAGTTGCTGCGTTGTGTATAGTCAATTTTTAAGACAAACTCATCACCCTGTATCTCGGATAACGAAGCTTTTGCAGACAAAAGTTATCTAGTAAACCGTCAAGATTTTTTCAAGCAGCATCACCACTCGAAGTTTGCCGTACTTACTCACTACACCCTGTATGATATCAAGATATGAAACGATTATCATGGCAACAATATTCTCACCTTTCTGGCTAAATGTTTGAAGTCATCTGTATTGGTAATTCTCCCTTCAGTACAATCAGTCTTTCTGTAGGCATTCAGAGAACTGACAACGGTTGAAGCCATATTTGTTCTGAATGTTTCCTTGATTTTTTTGGCGGCGTCACTATTGAAATCTGGCAAGTCTTTTATTTTTACCTTCAAGAACGGTTTGGAACGTTTTTCTTTTATTTTTTTGAGTTCTATTTCCCGCAGTTGTTTTTTCGTCTGCTGCAGAATCAATTCTTTCTGCCGTTTCAATTTTTCTTTATTTGCTTTGTACCTTTTGATGTCCTCCTTGAACTGTTTCTTGTCTTCTTCGGTCCTTGGCTAGAATCGGAGAGATCGAAACCTGTTAAACTTGTTCAATATTTCAAAATACACACAACATTTTATTTCAAAATAGAATTTTCATTGGGTCAGTGACCGCATCATTAACTTCCACTATTTCGAAACATTACTTTCCAGTTCCACCAGATGGAAAACCTACATACAAAAAAACGTGTGCGTATCGGGACGCCCGACAGAAGTGATGAACTAATCAAGTTGAACTATTTTGTCTTGAAATTGTTCAACTTGAGAGAAGCTTACGTTAATAATGAAATCTTTCATTGATTATTTTGTGTATGTACATATATTATATGAGTCACACATTAAGCTCGCACAAGTTTCTCAACTTCTGAAAGTTGTCGTTCGTATGGGGGCGACAGCTGATTAACGGAAAAACAGATTTTAAACAGATTAATTTTTGTAGGATTGAATAATTATACTAATAATGTACATACACAAAATCAGTATCATTTTTAAGAAACGTTTAACATAATAAAAGAATTCAACGTGCTTGCTGGTTACATTTTTATAATACAGTATATGTCTGTCGCACACTAAACACTGAGCGTCTGTCCGACGAGAGAGGAGGAACCTGACTTCCACTGACGTATGCGTGAGAGAAAGAAAAGCCAGACAGACTGGCGCTATAACGAGTTAGGAACGAAGCGGTTAACCCTCCCATAAGAAGTTATTGCTTCAAAAATGAAAAATCTGATACGAATTGAATTTGCAATAATAACTTGACCATAAGAAATCTGCACTTTATAGTTCAAAGTAGGGCCTGTGATCAATACCCAGTAAAATGATACAGGAAGAAGAGAAGTATCTTGAAGAACTTGGTCAATGAAACTAAGACATTCTATAATCATGATTTTGTTTTGAGCTCTGTAAATAAATCAGACTGTATGGAAGCTCATCAGAGAAGAAGTTGGTGCAATAATTGCCTCCGTTTCTCTTCAACTTGATGAATAGAGTCCAACTTTAGGAAAAATGTGCCCTTCTCTTTCTTTTATAGACCAGCCAATAGCAAAGAAGTGGAGAGTGTTTTTATTTTATCGAGGAAAATCTCACTTCAAACATTTATAGCCCGACATTGTAGTTTTTTCCTGTTATCTGTTTTCACTTCATTATTTCAATGTGTTGGTAAATGTACTCATGTATTCAAAATCCCAAATATTCAATTCGAAACAGCGCCGACATACTTACACTAATAATAATTTCTTCGCACAAACCGACCCTTCGTTTTTTTTTAGGTGGTTTGTCGTCTTTGAATAAATCAAGTTCTTTCAATCTCATATCTATGGAGGGTCTTCTCACTTCTTCTTCAACGAAAGACGACGATTTCACAATATTTTCTTCGTGGTCTAAAACTCCTCTCGAAATTTTATCATCAGGACTGGGAGTTGTCTCCATCGATTCTTCCATTTTCTTTTGTTCTGGTAAGACAGATTTGAGAGATACCTTACTAGAACTATCCATTTGCTTTCTGACTTCCAACAACAGTTTCGTATCATCAATGTCATCTTCACTCTCGGAATTTTCTGAGCTGGTATCGGAGCTTACAGTACTTGTATCAGAACTCGACTCGGATTCGAATGCTGAAATCATGAAATGAGAGAAAATGATATTAACCTTCTTCCCAAATGAACTATTTGACTACGGATGAAAGTATTAAAGGCATAAATACTCATATTTTTAAACGCAAAATGCATATAACAATGTTTACGTAAGCATGGAAGATGGGTAAGAGCTTTGCTTACTTTTGCTGACAAAGAGAATGGGGGGGTAAATAATTGTAATAAACATGCTTACGTGATACTGGACCATCCCCTAAATTCGTGTTTCAATAAATAGAAACCTTAATTACTTACAATCATTTTCTTCTGTTGGCTCTTCAACAGGTGGTGGTTCCCATTGACTTTTTCTGATTTTAACATGATAGTAGTAGGGTCTTCCATATTTATCTTTTGCACATTTCCATTTCGGAGGTAATTTTGCAGGGGGTGGAATAGGTCCCATGAATTTGACTTGTGATAAATCTTCTTCCTTCACATTGATCTGTTCTTGATATTGTATCAACGGCACTGTCGTTGTGGCATGACTCATTGGTATCTACAAATAAACAATTGAATTGTGCAGCAAGGACACATGTAAAAAAAATGGAGAAATGTCATTCAAATAAAAGGGATCTTCAACCAACTTTAACATTTTCCTTCTTTATATCTTGGTTGACTTCAAAATGACAGCAATTTCTCCAGGGGCTGTGTTTCTAGGTTGTAAAATGTTATAGTAGTAAAAGAAATAAATGATTTTACTTTCGATTTGATTATTGAAATGAATGTATTTTGTTTTGTAATAACCCAAATTGAGGAACATTCCCCATTGCAAATGGTACAACTGGGCAAGTACGGTCCTGATAATTTAACTATTATGTTTCTAGTCTTGGCTGGAGTGAATGACAATCAACAAATGATGGAGGTGGATAAAAATGGAGTGTTATTTGAAGAATTTAGGTAACGCTTATATTAGGTTTGTATTACGTATAATTCCGTGCAGGGCCATGTAAACTTTCATCACAATATTATTGACCTTATAAAACTGAAATCAAGTTTCTTTTATTACCGTAGAGCCATGTTGCAACACGAATGTGAATCGACCCATTTGTCAACTGAATTTTTGTTAAAGAGGCAATCAAAAGTATTTTTGAAATAAAAGAGCTTAAAAAAGTGTATCACATTCATAAATCTTTGAGGTCATTCAACTTTGTTTTTTTATTTTGCTTAATGGCGTGCATGTCTTTGTTCGATACTTTTTACACCTTACGTTCAATTGCTGTATCTCAATTGAATAGAACTGGCCAATACTTGATGAAAATCCATATTAAAAAATTAACTAATCAATACAGTTAATTGTATTGATTAGGAGTATTGAGGAACAATCTGGCATAAACTGCCATAAACTGGCAGTTTATGCTTGAGGAAGCTACTATATAGCAAAACACGTGTCGCAGTTTTTGTAAAACCCTTTTATGGTGAAACTCATACAATAAACTGTATTGATTAGTTTTTTTTTGTTGTATCTTATTTCTGATGAAAAATTGCGGCATCAGAAAAACATTTATTTATCCATATTAAATATCATGTTACCTGCGGATGTCTCGTAATATTCTGAGCTAGTGGATGCAACGAACTGGCAGTTGTTATCTCAGGTACGTTGTGTGCGGGAAGCTGGATTGATCCAGCCATCCCACTTATAGGAAGTTGAGCAATACCGAGGCTCAAACTGTTGGTTACCCCCAAAGGTGGGGTATACGAGTAGTTGGGTAAGCTTTTTGGAATTTGAGGTGGTGGTATATTCAAGTTGGGTAACTGGGGAGGCTGGGATGGATACAGGGACGTATTTGGAGGTAGAGGATAATTTTGCCACTGACCTAAAAAATAAAATAAATGTGAGCAAATTGATTTTACGTTCAAGTACATAGTATTTACTAATGAGACAAATCAGAAATTGATGAAAGTAGGACCTCCAACATAAATGCTCAAACATGGCTCAAAAATTAATTTAAAATATCGGTACTGGAGACATCAGAAGTAGTTAAATATTAACTTGTGGTCCTACGCCCATCTAATATATAAAAATGGATGTTTGTTGGTTGGTAAGTGATAAACTTCTACATCGCTCCACCGATCGTGATGAAACTTGACAAGCATAAGTAATTTTTCATAGAGAAGGTTTTTAGGTTATCAGTTTTTCTGTAACTCGCCACTAGTAGGCGCTGCAGAACAATTTTTTGAAAGCCCTATTCTATAACGCTGCGCACGTCTAAGTTCGTTGATTCTGATTCTGTCAAAACATTGGAACAGCAGCGATACAGCAACATAGGTATTTTATATAATATACGGCTGACATGTATAGAACTCAACTAGAGTCTGAGAGTTCATGATCTAATATGCCCAACAGCGCCGTTTCAACCCGCCAAGATCTTTTCGATGGTGTCAGGCTGAACCACTCAACATTGTCGTACAGCCCTATTTCATTCAGGTGCCACTCAATAGACACTGACAAGTAATTGTTCTGAGTCAATCCCTACTTTGTTGAACCACTTCTTCAGTTCTCTCCTGATAAGGTCCCTATATAAAAGTTTTCCCAAGTGTATTCCCTGGCTTGTTTTCCCACTACTCTCTATGTGGCTTACAGACCCACTTTCCAATCTAGTGGGGGTACCAAAGACTTTGGTACCCCCACAGCTGGCTCACGGCCTATATATTTACTACACAGTAAATTCCAACTACCGTTCCATGTTTGTGAGGCAGATATACGAAATATTCAAGAAAAGAATTTCGACTTACCAATCTGAGGATTCCATATACACTGATAGCCACGGCTGGGATCGAATGGAGCCGTGAACCTAGGATCCGTTCCTATCATCAAACAATTCATTTCATGTTGCCGCCATAATTCTCGTTGTTTCATCCTCCTTTCCTCTTCCTTCAGTTCATGCTGCAGAGCAAACAGTTTTCTCCTTTCTATTTTACTGAGCCTCAAAAATTCGGCACTTGGCTTCTCGCCAGGTTTTGGAGGTTTCCTATTGGTGTCTCTATCACTTTTGTATCTAGATAACGATCGGTATCTATCGCTCTTTCTTTCTTTATCGTGGTCACCACCATAAACGTTCTGGGCATTCTGCATGAATTTCTTATTTGCTTCCCTTTCATGTTCTTTCATTTGTTCGATTCGTTCTTTCTTGGGAATCCTGAATACTTCTGGCAGATTTTTCCATTCTTCCAACAGTTTCGTCGCCAGAAATTTAATTTCTTCTTCTTGATCTTCAATGCTTCTTTCAGGCATTGAATCTTCTTTTTTCATTACTACATCAATTTCTTTCTTGACTCTCTCGGCCATAACATCCTGCTCAATTTTAGGAGAATTACTATCTGAATCTAATGGGGAAGTTAATTCTTTATTGGTAGACCATTTCTCCACAGTTGCGAGTACTTTGCTATCTTGAAGCATCGTTTTGTTAGGAATTGGTAAAACTGCAAGAGTTTGTAGTATTTCCAATCTGAAAGTAAGACCATTACAGAAGTTAATATATGTTGTTATGACCTTGTATAGATTGGTAGTTATTCTGATATACAGTCCACTCTTAAAAAATTATTTACTTATTTATTTTCATTGGGGACTTGCCATTTTACAATAAACACAGACAGTGTGTGTGTGAGAGAGAGAAAAAAGGCAATCGAACAATAATATGGAATACTAAAAATATACAATTATTATTGATGATGATAATCAGCAGCTTCTTCATAGAAAATGAGTTTAACCTGATTTTTGAAAAAAATAATCAAAGAAATCAATAAAAACGCTGTTCTCATTTGCTAGCCAAAACATTCTGGCAATGAATTCATTTGAGCCATAACTAGTACCATGGGAAGGAACTTTGAAAAACTTCCATACTCCGGTTCTTCTTGAATTTACATTTAAATCAATCAGTCGTGTTACAAATGGACAGTTCATATTACCATTCATGACTTTATGAAGAAGTCTCAAGTCAACTTCAGGTCGGCGGTTCCCAAAGTAGATAAACTCAAAAGTAGCAAAACATCAAGAGTACTCGTAGTGAAGATCTTACAAATTTGTTTTGTAATTTCTCCATCCTAGATATATGTGTCTGATATAGAGAACTAGAAGAAAAAAGAAGACGACATTTCTTATTTTTTAGATACTTGTTTGTATATCTTCCACTCATTTTCTTGAATAATTTTGAAACACTTCCAACAGAACCACTAAAGAAGTTCCTTGTGAAAGGAAGGACTACAGGAAACTCCTTCAAGGGACTCTAAGAGCGGTGCCTGTGCGAAAGTAGCGATTCACATTAGATTTGAATCGCTGGAGATTAAATCCATTTGGAAAAACGTACCCAGTAAGTTTATTCCACATAAACGCAGTTCTCCAAATGAAAGAGTTCTCAAACAGTGAAGTTCGAGGTGTACCGAGTTGAACCTCAAAAACGATGAGCAGCCACAGACCGTCACGTATTTCTGATATGTGCCGCTCTTGGTGGAATCAAATGTGCCAAGTCACTTCGTGTAAGAATCTATAGAAAAGAGACAAATCCCGACCTTTCTTCGATGTTCCAGACTATCAAAGTTGCAAATGATATTCGCATCTCCAATCAGGAGGATGGTTTTTTCTGGATAGAATCCAGCAGCTTCAAGGTATGCTTTGAGGAAAGTATACTTTTTGAATGATATAAAAAAGGAAGTGGAACTGTATTCCTGAAATAGTGGATTTTTCAATTTTTAAATGACCATATCTCCGAAAGTAAACTGGAGCGCAAAAGCCATGTACTATAGATTTGTGAAAATTTGTATATCTGCATTGCAAAATGCCAAAGAAAATAAGTTCAATTATTATATTCGCGATTGTCGACCTACCTTACAGATTCATACTTTTTATTTGCCATTACCAGATGCTGAGCGTCAATCATGTAGCCGTGTATCAGGCGGAGCCCATGATAATCCAAGAACAACCTGCGACAAGGAAGTTCACCTCGCCTCAAGACACGCAGCAATTTGGTTCTCTGTTGGGTTTCTTTGGCTCTCACCATGAGTCGACTCAGCTTCAAAGTATGTGCTTGATTTTTCAATCCAGTTGTTATCAACAGTTCCATCTCTTCGTTAAGTTGCTGGAATGAAATAAAAGACGATAATTTTTGAAGCCTATCGAGTTAGCTTCACTTACATCAATTTCTTCAAAGAGTTCGATTCTGGGTTTCTTCTTCTGACATTTTTTTTTCGCTATGGCAGGAGTCACGGTCGGAGTAACAGGTACTTGCTCTTGAATCTGTGTTTCTTTCGTGTCACCTAGTTTCTCCGGGTCAACTACTTTTATTTCTTCCGTCTCTCGAACGGTCTCTACTGCTAGTTCAGGTACTTTATCTTTTATGGGAGGAGGTTCTATTTTGGGTTCTGGTAACGATTCGTTCAGAATTTCATCATCTTCTTCCTCTTCTTCCTCATCCTCCTCATCTTCAGAATCAGGTTGTTCTCCGAGCCATCCTCTGCAAATGGAAGCGCCGCAATAGCACTTCTGAGCTTCTTTTCTGAAAAATGCATTTCAATAAAAACCGACTGGGAAATATATGGAAATCGAATGGTAAGTGCTCTAGACAAAAAGAAATGTGTTTTAGGATTATTTATTGACTTTTCACGGGCTTTCGATTGTGTGAACCATAATCTTTTGCTGGACAAACTTTCAAGATATGGTGTAAGAGGAATATTATACCAGAGAGCGGAACTCACCCGTATCTCTGAAATCTATAATCAAAAGTTATTTCTTCTCCTGCTAGAATTGTCCTCGTGCTAAAGAAACCAATTCTCAATTCTCCATTAGCAGTCCACTTTTGTGTTTCTGCATTCGGATCGCAGGAGTGATTGATGAACCTAGATATATTACCTGAAATTAGGATTTTTGATTAAGATCTATACCAATAAGTTCTTTCAGAATCGTTACCTTTCATTGTTGCATCTATAATGGCATCTGCCCGTAGGGCCATGAAATAATAGTGAATATTTTTATCTTGTGAATAGACCTCGGCCCTTTTATCGAATTCATGGGAATCAAGCACCTCTCCTACATATTCCAAGATGAACTCGCCACTGAAATATTATTTACTTCAATCTTTTTGCCAAATGTTAAAGAAGAGCGATGACGTCTCCGCTTAGGAAAACGCCATCTATGGGATCGACAGAGAATTCAATCCTCGAATATCAAAGATATTCGCCTCTTCAAGGCGGTCACTTACAAAGCCAAGCTTCGACATTGACTGCCGACGAGATTTGTTCCCCGTCTTTCACTGCAAGGCATGAATATCAAAGTGAATTTATTCTTATTTCAGAAAAAAAAAATACAAAAATATACAAAATATCTCACTAAGCAATATTTGCGGCAGCTCTGAGACCCAGCCCCTTCTTTTCAGTGTTGAAAACTTCCACGGGAGCAAAGAGACCTTTTTGAAATCTCTTGTTTGTACATCTCTCTCCTACTTGACACAGATTTCCACTGAAATAATTCGAGAATCAGTTAGAGTTATTACGATTGAATATATATATATAAATACCATTCGATTAGTAGTAATCTGTTTAAACAATCTTCTCCGCAACCGAATTCGTTGGCTTCTTTTTCTTCTGCAGTTAAAAAGCAATCACAGGTCATTTTTTTGGCTTCTTTGCAGGTCATTCTATCTGTTTTATATAAATTTTCTTTTAAATGAACAAACTGTTTCAGTCGTGCTGCTATCACTGGATCTTTTGCTGGAATCTTGGCTTTTACATTATCGATAGAAGGTGGTTCGAGGTGACATTCAATTTTTTTCTGAATCGAAGATAATATTGATTGGGAGGGGTAATCAGCTGCGGTTATATTATCACTCGATCTTGTCCATCTTGTTTTCCGTTCCTTCAACATCACTTTCGGCGATGCGGTCGGAGTACTTTTTTCTGATTCCATCTGAACAGAATTACTATCTGAAACATCGCATTCATTAAGAGAGCTTTCTGATTTAGACTTGACCAATCCCCGGCCTGTAGTTTTTTTATTCAGATGATTTATGAATTTTATTCTCGAAGATCTTCTCACTTCCATATCATCCAAATCATTTTCTACTTTGAACGATTTTTTTAAAGAGTCTTGATCAGTTTTCTCCTCCTTCTTATCTTTCTTCTCAGTTTTATTCACATCAGTTTTACTTCGTACTTTTTTAGAAGTTGAAATCAAACATGGATTCTTAGTCTTTACTTCCTGCTTTTTCTTTTCCTTTGATTTCGTCTCCACTGTCTTAGTCAAAACTTTTTCCTTCGACTTATTAGATGGTAGTACCTGCTTGGACAATTTAAATTGCCGTTCTGTTACTTGGGGTGTTTTTATTCTTCGAGTTCTAATTTTACGAGATGAATCGATTTGTTCCTGTTCTGAAAAAGAATCTAATTCAACAGCTGCAACTCCAGACAAAGGAAGGTTATTCGACTCTCTTTCCAATACACTATTAGAAACAAACTGATGCACTGCAGGTTCATCCTGAAGGTGCAATTTTTCTACTTCTTTTTCAATGGTTGTTGTTTCGATAGTAACATGCTCTTCAGTCTCCATACTTTCTACGTTTTCAGCTTTTGGATTGGTTCTATCCTCAGGGTCTGTGACTTTTTCTTCACAATCATTTGTATGCGGTGGTTGGATGCCTACATTAGATTTATTATCATCACTCTGGATTTTTTCCCCAAACTCGAGAGACGTTTCATTCTTAAATTCTCTATCTTGTGTCTGTTTTTCTAAAGGCGAATCATTTTCACTCTCACTGATAGTGGCGTCAGATAGCTTTGAATTATTTTTCTCAAGGATTGTCTCATTTTCAATTTCTTGAGAAAAAAACTTCCTTACCTCTGCATCATTAGAGTCACTAGTAGAGACTGACTGACATTCTTCTGAAACTGTTACATCTTCAATGACTTTGATATCCTCACCTTCAACATCGTTCGGATCGAGAGGAATCTCAGTAATATTGTCATCGTGGTTTTCGTCCGTATTAGGCATATTATACATACCATCAGATATGATTACTTCTTCCATTTTCTCTGGAACAATTTCTTCAATTATGCATCCCATTCCGTCGTCTTCGTATGCTACTTCAACAGACTCCCCCACAACAATTTCTTGACTTTCTTGAACAAAACATTCTTCTAGATTAGATCTGTCATGATCTGATGTATAATTTTCAGAAACATCAGTTTCCATCAACATTTTTTTGTCAATTTCATCAGAAAACCCACTTGTTTTTTTTTCAGGCGACGACTCCTTGAAAATTTCAGCATCGTCTTCAACTTTTCCAATTGATTCCTCAGTTGATTTATAGTTATGTCCTATAATTTCACTGATATCATCAGCGTCAAATTCCAAGTTCTCATAACCCTTACCCCTATTAGTGGTTTCCTCTTCCAAGACACTGTTCACTTGTATATCTGATTTGTCATCCTGACTGTCCTCGTCATCCTCCCAATCTTGCAGTATTTGTAATAGAGCTTTATTACTTTTAGCAACATTTGATACTGTAGCTTGTTGAACAGCTGAACTGCTCTGAGGTTTTGAAGCGATAGGTAATAATTGCTTCTTCAAGTCGGAATGAAAAGTTGGCATTTCAGAAATTGATCCAAAAACTTTTTCATAGGAATTTCTAATTGTATTTGTAAGAATTTCAGGACTGAGCTTGTTCAGGATTGTGGGTTTTTCCAAATGTTCCTTGCCAGAACCTTTTGCTGTTTTTGAAATATGTTTTGTTATTTTGCTTGATTTTGGTATCTCTATATTTACAATACTTTGTCTTCTTGTTGATCGAGTTGACACAGTGCCTACTACAACAGGATTTGCAGGAGTTTTTTTCTTTTTAGGCGGCATAGTGATATGTTCCTTAATCTGAACCACAAATCATTTGAATTACTTTCCGAAATTTAATTGAAAAAAAATACAGTGAAACTAGTAGTAAAAATGTCGACGAGAAACGAATCCCAATAAATTATACATAACAATACAGAAATCATCTGGAGACAACAGCCACTTATGATGTGCTCATGTTCCATGAGCATACACCTATTCTGTGTCATAGATTTACACATTTTACATTTCAAATTTTATTATCGTAATAAAATTCACGAAATTTAATATACGAATGAGAAAAATAACCACAAAAATCGATAATGATAGTTTTCCACAATTCACACTTATATTAATTCACAGCAAAATTCATCTTAGTCAACAGTAATACTCCCAACCAAAACATAATAAAACGCTTGTGTCCAATTATTTTTGGAACTGCGAAAAAATTGACAAATGAAAAATTGTGAACGTGTTCTACTATCTTAACTCGTGGGTACTCGGACTTTCGGATAACTTTGAAGTTGGTCTAATAATCTTTGGAGGTTGTAAAGTACACAGTTTCAGAAACTGAAGTGTTGTCGATTGTTTATTTATTTTTGAATATAGATAATTCGTGTCCAACCCTCTCTAAAGTTAAATTGAAATGTGGGCAGACACTTTATTAATTGTCTTCATTTCTATTTGCACAGCTCTACTAGGTGAAGGACTCACTTGGCTGATGGTGTATCGTACTGAAAAATATCAGAAATTGAAAGCAGAAGTGGAAAAACAGAGCAAAAAATGTGAGCCCTTGATATGGAGTTTTGAATTCCTTACTAATGATATTCATTCTAGTGGAGAAGAGAAAAGAAACGCATGGAGATTCTTTGGATAAACAACACAAAAAGAAAATTGAAAGAGAAGAGGAACGTTTGAAAAATAATAACAGAGATTTGTCTTTTGTCAAAATGAAATCTATGTTCGCAATTGGTTTTGCATTCACTGCTTTATTAAGCATGTTCAATAGCATGTAAGTGGTTCGACAAAATCTTTGGTTTTGTCGGTGGGTTTTTGAACAAGTTTCAAGAAATATGGTGTGGAATATTAAACAATCTTCTGTATACGTTATTCTTGGTTATCGATTCAACAATATTAATATCACGTTCGAGTTTTCGAGGCTCTGAGAAATTAAAAATGTATTGGAATCATTTTGAAAGTTCATATAACTAAAAAGTCAAAAATAAAAGCTTCATATCACTAAATTGAACCATTTAGATTATAAAAAAGATCATTTATTTCAAAGTTCTAACAGTACAATCAATGCCTGGTANCAATGCCTGGTACAGGTGTACAAAATCAATCCATGGTATAAATCAGTAACCAGTGATAACATATTTCAATTTTTTAGGTGTACAAATTTAAGTTTCAAATGAATGGTTTTTATAATTATCATCCCTCATTTGGTTTGGAAAACTCTGAAGTAAAGTTAATCTTGTCCAATCAATCAACAGGAATAACATCTCAATCAATGGTACTTAAATTCACATTTTTGTTGCAGATTTGATGGGAGAGTGGTCGCAAGGTTACCATTTCTACCGTTGACATGGATACAAGGACTTAGCCATCGAAACCTTCCTGGAGAGGATTATTACGACTGTTCCTTCATTTTCTTGTATATACTATGTACAATGTCGATAAGACAAAATATTCAGAAATTACTTGGATTTGCTCCTTCAAGAGCGGCATCAAAACAAGGAAATAGTTTATTTGGTCCGACTCCGGCTCAGTTCAAATAATTTCAGTAGTTAATGTTTCACAACTATAGTATCAAATTCTGCTCTGATTTAGTGTGACTAAATTGAAAAATATTCAATTATCTGTGTTGACTTTACTAAGTATCAACATATTGTTGAATTGTTAATGATATGTCGATGGTGGAAAGTATATTCCCACATCAATGGGAAATTGAATAACAATTTGTTTGTACTATCATTATTGACTTTGTGAAGTGACACCAGATAAATACCTCCTTTTTTGTTGAAATAAATGTTTTTGTTTTGAAAAAATGAACCTAGTGAGGAATTCATAAGTGTAAGGGTTCATAAGATAGTATGTGCCGAAAAGAGTTGAAAATAACAGTTAATTGCCCAAAAAGTATCTATAACCACCAATTTTTCTTCTTCTTCTCTTCTTGTAATGGCCTTAGCTACCAGGATTATCCGGCCAGTGGGTAACAAATTTGATACTTTAGAGCCGAACGTGGCAACAATAAAGTGAGCCTGGGACGGACCCATCCACATTCGGTTGGGGAGTATGGCTAAACAGTGAGAAAATCCCGGTAAGATACATTGTGTAGGAGTCATTCAATGGTCCATGCACTTGAAAAGATGGGTCACAGGCGAAGCACAAAAAACTAAAGGACTGATCACCGCACAGAAGCACCAAACGGTGAATAGATTCCAAATCCAACATGACAAATGACAACTGAAATATCTCGTTGACCTCGGAACTAACCGATCAGATGTAACTCAAACAACAGATCTGCATTATCGAACGCTTGCCGAGCGCTCAGATTTGTTTTAAACAAGATTGTTTCAATTTCACACACGGTGACAATACCAATTAAATTGCTAAAGTACAGAAAATATTAATTCAGAAAGAAGTGATTAAAAAACTTATTGAAGTAACAAAGTTGAAAACTCAATAGAATTCGTAACTGTGACTTGTTGAAAATAGAGATTCCATGCTGTGATAGGTTGTCCGTAAGTTAAATTCTGCATGAGATGAAACAACCCTACTAACGTCTGGCGTCTTGACTTCATTAACAATACGACTCGCCAGAATGGAATTATTCAAAACTGTCGAATGGTAATGTGAATAAAAATATTTTTCAACTCATATTCAACAAACCATAGACACGTATTTCGGGCTTTTGGCTTATCACAAGTTTGGTACAGCCAAGAGCAAGGATCGACTACACTTGATTTACAAAAAAAGTTCAAATACACGGAACCATCAGCAGAAGCAAGCTGCACATTTGTGGTTTCGGTTAATGGATCTTACGTTTACAAGAATACGACTAAAATTTGCAAGGAAGCAGCTATAGTCCTTTCTATGTCCGATAAATTATCTCTTGAATTTATGTCGATATTCTTCATATCCATATGATTTCCTGAACCCGGATGTCACACAGGAAGCTTTTCATTTTCATGGAATTATTTGCCACCAGCTTGACTGTAAACCTTTCTTGAATTCATCGGTGAGTCTACCGATGGATTCATTTCCAGTGGTTCATTTAAAACGTTAGCGCGTTTCTATTGGTTGAAACAATACCTCAGAAATGTTTTGGTAAATTTCAGATCAGGCCTAAATGAATAAGTGACGTCATTGGAGGAACACGGATTTCCTCTTGTCGCGGATACCATGTCACAGAATAATTGTTTTAAGACGATTGTATTTCGTACCCCACATATACGACAGTATCACTGTTGGATGTAAACTATATCAAAATATTTCGTTCTCATCTGCAGCTAAATTCTTGGCAAAAATAATTAAACACGAAATATAAGTATAATAAAAATGAAGAGAAATTCGATTAGTGACATATTAACGTCCATATACTGAAAATCCAAATCCGTTTCACAATGAAATGAAAAAACTAAGTGAACTTGAGTTGGCATGGTTGAACATTTTTGGATTTGAAAAATCTAAAGATTTTTATCGAGTTGTCTAAAGAAATTCGCAAATGTTATCTGGCAACACTGCTACCATACCAACTAGTATCAGTCATATTTCATTTTTGCACTGTATTTTTATTCCGTGGTTCAGTCAGTGTCTTGTAACGAAATTTTCACCGATTTTTTTCACATAAAAAGCGAACATGTTGAGGAGTATAGTGCTTGCTGAAAATATAGTTTTGAAAAATAATTCTAAGGTACATTCTTATGGGTGTAACTGCCAGAAAAAAAATATTTTTTTTTGACAGATCTCAAATTGTGTTACATAAATATCGGTCAATTTATATAATTAACTCCTACCATTACAGATTCTATTTTCTATACCAAGTAACCTTTGGCATCCTCAACAACAACAAACGAGAAACTTGAATGTACACGAACATATCAGCTATTCATTGCTGAAAGAAGCAGGAATAACTGTTCCCAATTTTGGTGTTGCTAAAACCAAACAGGAAGCTAGACAAATTGCAGAAAAATTGAATACAAAAGATTTGGTATTGAAAGCACAGGTATTAGCTGGAGGACGAGGCAAAGGAAGTTTCAAGAATGGCCTTAAGGGCGGTGTCCGTATGGTTTATTCGTAAGTTGAAAGTATTAGTTGAATCATTATGTGTGAAATTTGTATTTTTAGACCTCAAGAGGCAGAAGATATCACTGGTCAGATGTTGGGACAGTATTTAGTGACGAAGCAAACTGGGGAGAAGGGCAGAATATGTAATGCCGTCATGGTTGCCGAGCGTAAATTTCCCAGAAAAGAATTCTACTTTGCAGTTATGATGGAACGAGCATTCAATGTAAACACAATTGAATTTTTATAATTTTGTGGGAACTATGAAAATCTTTTAGGGACCTGTGATAATCGCTTCGTCACAGGGTGGAGTTAACATTGAAGAAGTGGCGGCAGAGAATCCAGATGCAATCCTTTATGAACCAGTTGACGTTGTGAAAGGTTTATCGAAAGAACAAGCCGAGAAGATTGCTGTCGCAGTGGGCTTACAATCCCAAAAAAGCAAAACTGCTGATATGCTTCTGAGGATGTATGACCTTTTCATAAAGAAAGATGCACTATTGATTGAAATCAACCCATACGCTGAAGATGCAGGAGAAACATGTGAGAAACTATCATTTTATTCTACATTAATAATTCTCTTTTAGAAAATGTTTTCTGCAAAATGATCATTGCCAAATTTTTTCATTAATCCTCCAAGATCTATACCACTGACTTTTCTCAAGTTCAGTGTATAAAAACAGCATGCTTTTTTTATCAAAAAAAAGTACAATTTTATTCTTGTATTCTGTAGGCCCTTTTTTTTGACATTCTCAAGTTTTTATTCTCCCGAAATGAAAAAACTTTTCAAAATAAATAATTATCAGATTTGACCAGAAATGTAACTGCTTTTTAGGAAAGAATAGGAATTTGGGATAGAGAAGAATTAGGAGGGTAGTTTTGAAAGCATTTTTTCTTTCTTATAATTCAATGTCGATATGAAAGTAGTTGTTTCTTTATGCATGATCTACATATCATTTATGCCACTCTGCTTGTTATTCTGTGAAGGTAAATGAAATATATTCGGTCCAGAATCAGTTTTATGTATACGTGCATACAAATTGAGATTTGTATGAGGTACTCAGAAATATGATACCATCTCAACTATTTTGAATCTAACCACTCTAGAGGAACGCAGAATTTAGTTCCCGTCTAACTGAATGAATGAATTAATTATCAGTAAAGAAAACTTTTCAGGTAACATGTGCGAAAGAATTGAAATGAATCTAGTCAACTCTATACCTTTGCTCTTATAGTCTAAAACCCGTAATAGTTGAATTGTTTAATTGATTCATATTCAAAAGACTGTTGAAATTGAAATTTTTGCAGATTTCTCATTGGACGCCAAATTCCGTTTCGATGACAATTCACAGTTTCGGCAGAAGGAACTATTCGCTCTTCGCGATTGGACCCAAGAGGACGAGAAAGAAGTGGCAGCCGCCAAGTTCGATTTGAATTATATCGCCCTAGATGGCAACATTGGATGTATGGTTAATGGAGCTGGCTTAGCAATGGCCACTATGGATATAATCTCTCTACATGGAGGTTCCCCCGCAAATTTTCTTGACGTTGGAGGAGGGGCTACCGCGTCTGCAGTCAAAGAAGCATTCAAAATAATAACTGCGGATCCCAAAGTACACGCCATACTAGTCAACATTTTCGGGGGTATAATGAGGTGTGACGTTATTGCAGAGGGAATTATTGCCGCCGCCAAAGAGCTCAGCTTGAAAATGCCGATTGTTTGTAGGCTTCAGGGAACAAACGTCGATGATGCGAAAGTATTGATTGCCTCTTCCGGTTTGAAAATTTTACCTGTGGATAATTTGGACGAGGCGGCAAGATTGGCAGTAAAGTTGTCGAACATCGTAAGCTTGGCAAGAGACGCCAAATTGGATATCAACTTTGAAATGCCTCTCTGAATTGTGGCATACGAGAAATCAAAATTGGGCAGTATTTTTTTCGAAGAATTCAACTAAAGAGAGAATATATTTCAGGCATTTTATTGTATACTCAGTCACGTACTACTTTTATCAAAGCTTTACTGATATTTAGCTCGTTAGCGGTGCATATTTAAATTATTTATTTGTACAATAAGTTGAAGAATATATCATTTTCCAGTTATTCCCAGTTTTATTTTTCTTATAGTAGATGGAAAGTTTCAACAGTTGAACTCGTGCAGCGAGCAATTATTTATTTTGGGACAATATAATTAAACTGGCAATCAATCTTGACAAATTTGATATTCCTATAAAGCAACGATTACTGAAGTACTAATTTATTCAGTTGCACCACTTGATAAAATAGTGGAGTGGGCGCAACCCATCATTAAAAGCAATTTCTTTCAAGGACAAAACACAAAAGCACTACAGGAAAATCCCTGAGGCGCTTAATAAATAAATCGTTTGCACGACATGGCACAAATACAGAAATAATTAGAAGAATAGACATTTCCTTCAGTTAATGTTGATTCAAAGCTGTGTTCACTTAATTTATTATCTTAATTGAAGAGCTCGGTGAATGAACATGTCGAGTAACATTTTTTCAAAATAGGGAATATTTAAATGAAAGAACACTTTATTATCTATTCCAAAATTGTTATCCAACACGTTCATTTACTAAGTTGATACTCAACATTCGAAAGCAACAAAAAAAATGACACAGAAAAAATAAAACAAAATGTTATGAGCTATTTGCAAAAATATTAGAAAAATCAAAATAGTTCAATGAAATATTAATGAGTTAGGATAATGCAAAACACCCACTTTATTTCTGAAAAGGGACTGACTACACATACATACTGTATGTTACAGACACAAGATTCAAATTATCAAATATTTTTTATTTGTTAGTAAATGCAAATATTTTTTTTCCAAAAATGCCAACAAGAGACTGGAAAGTACACAATGGATAATAATTTGAACTGAATTGACTATAAGGAATAAGGTGTAATAATATCACTCAACATTCAATTAATAGTGCAATGCATGGACCAGAATACAGTATTTGGTAATTTTCGAAATTCCCAGTAGATGATTTCCCACAAATTTTGTGTAGATTTAAAGATTGCTGAAATACATTTCTGGCCGAAGTTCAAGCTTAATTGTTCACCAACTGATCCAGAAAGTTAGTTTCAATTCCATATATATGAATATGATATGAAAATATTTTGCATCCAAAAATTCAAAGATTTTCTTTAAAATATCGAATTATTTTTCAATTTGAATAAACTCGAGATGTGAAAGGTTTTGAAAGCCAGCCTTGGTAACAACGACATTTAATGAACAGAAGAATGCAGATGAAAGTTTCAACAACATTAATGAGATGAGAAATATTCAGTTGTTCAAATTTTTGTTACCACCTAATTTTTATTCAAAAATAAAATTATGACGAGGCCAGAAATAACAACCTTTCACATATGTTTGAACAAAATTTCCAACTTTTCTTGGCAACCAGGTATTATCTCGAGGTTTAAATGTGAGGATGGCAACATTTCACGAAAGACTTTTAAGATCAAACAAAATAAGCATTTCAATAATCGATAAGAAAGTCAACAGTAATTATTTTTTCAGCAATCTACAGCCTATACTACTTCCCGAATGAAATTTTACATTTAATGATGGTATCAACTGACTTGTAAAAAATGTATTGAGGCAACTAATCACATCCCATTTTTACGAATGGTAGATAAAGTGTGTTGAATCTATTTTCTAGGTTTGTTGGGCATGGTCTGCAGGTTTTCATATATGACTGCAGTAGTCATTATCGAAAGAGGCAATAGAGGAAGTGCCTTGGACAGCAGACACAACTTTCAAGGTTTGAGTCTTTGGTTTCATTCCATCGGTGGTGTTCATGGCTTCTTTTCTATTTTAGTTCAATTCAATAACCTTTTACCTGTACAACTTATTGTTATTTTATGGATCAAAATTGTTTCTATGTCTTTTGAATTTCTATTGCTTCCCTATATAGTCTTGAGTAGTAGTTCTATCGAGCATTACTCAAATTAACACTAATAAAGTCTGACTACCTGCGCTGAATTGCGCACGTTAGTCATTTAATTCAGTCACCTGTTATGGAATGAAACCAGGGACCCAAACCTTGAGGTCTTATTGAATAGACTTTTTATAATTTTTATAAGGATTCATATACAAATATTTTATAGTGGAAGGTTTCTGATAATAACTTTGAGATATATATAAAAAGCGTTGAAGTGTTTGGTGGAAAAATTAGGATATATGATAAGGTAGTTAGAAATAGCAGGTAGTCAGAAATAGCAAGACCAATACAAATGGTAAATTTCATTCAGGTTTTTCATGTTAGACAACAAAGAGTCGAAATTTCAAATTAAAATCATGTTGCTGCTTCAAGTAGTGATATCTTCTCCACGTGATCCCAATACTGGAGATTCTGACACTACCACATTCTAGAAAGAACAAAAACGATGTTGAAGAGTCCCTGAAAAGTGTTTTTACATAGAATCATTATATTTAAGATATCAATTAGATTTTTTTTGAAATTAACCTATAATTTTACGAATTTTTAATAAGCAAAATATTAATATCTGTCGATTATAAAGACTTCTCTGAGAAAAAGAAATTTTACTGGAGTTTAGTCCCGATACCAAACTGTTATTTTCTACACCTCCACACGTATTTCAACCATCAAGACACGTGTTTCAATCACCAAGTGATCATCTTCAAGAGGAAGATTAATCTTCCTCTTGAAGTTCAAGAGAAAGATTGAAGTTTCAATCACCAAGTGATCATCTTCAAGATGAAGATTAATATTCCTCTTGAAGATAATCACTTGGTGATTGAAACCCGTGTCTTGGTGATTGAATCTCTCTCTTGAAGTTCAAGAGGAAGTTTAATCTTCCACTTGGTGATTGAAACACGTGTCGAGGTGTTAAAAATAACGGTTTGGTGTTGGGACTAAACTCCAGTAATATTCATAACTAAATATGCAAAAGTTTCAACACCACTAACATGGTTCATAACCATTACAGAAAAAATGTTTCCACTACACCATCAGCCAAATTGTAAAACTAACTGTATAAAAAAATACGAGATACAAAAAAACTGATTGCCTAGTCAAGTATAAATGATTCCCGATTTCTGTCTATTTCATATGTTCATAAATTTGATTCGTATAGTTATAAATAATAACTTTATAATCAATCAGGAAGACAATGTGATTGTTTTGAATTTACAAATATCAGATACAATCTTAAACGTATTTGGATGTAAACTTACAGTTCTATTGTACACATCACAGCTCATCGTTGAAATGGTGTATATTGTGAAGATGATCACCATAATCCGTCTCGCCTCGGTTGCCAATGTATTCCTGAAAGTTTATAAATCCATCGCCGTCTTTATCGTAATCATTCAAAGTTTGTCCTAAAATAATGGGAAGCATATTAGGATGCTCTTCTGGATGGGTGAATGCTATCCATTCTTCGCTATCAAGAATACCGTCACTGTTGATGTCTGCAGCTTTCCACATGATCTTATCATCTTGAATCAGCTAAAAATTATCGAGTTAAAAAAAAATCATTGAAATTTCAAAGTATACACACTTTGTCATTTTCATCCCCAAATTTTACTTCCTTCTCCGTACTATCGAGCCCATAAGTGTCAGATATATATTCTTCCCAAGTAACCATGTTATCATTGTCTTCATCAGCGTCTTCCATTCTGTCTCTGGCTTCTTCTTCTGATAACATTCTGCAAATTATTTAGTTTGTTTTATCAATTCTATCGGTGAAAAAATTTCAAATACTGTTTAATAATTAAGACAATGAGGGGAATCCATCATACTGCAGTAGCTTTGGCAAAAAGAATAAGTTCGGTGATAGGATGCTCAAAATGAATTTTCCAAGCAACTTCAATGTTCAAACCATAATAAATGGAAGAATAGAATCTGAAGCTCAAGAACGCCAAAAAAAGTGATCATTACCACAACTCAAAAACAATGTGTATAGGAAAAAATATCTACTGATGATGGCACTACTGTGTTCAAAAAGTGGTGACATTGAACAAACGATTTGATCATACGAAGACGCCATCTATGGGATCGACATACATATTAATTTCATCAATTATATGTACTGTGCGTCTTATATTCAGAATTTTTATAATCTACTATTACTGAGAACAGTGAGTGCCAAAATCTTTGAGCAGATTTAGATAAATTGAGAATTCGGGTGCTTGCAATGGCATGGAATTGAACACTGCCAAATGTTACAGCGTTTCATTTAGCCATGACTGATGTATGATTTCTCATATATCGAACATTAATGACTCCCTTCTCCAAAAAATCGGGACGATTAGGACGATTTTTCTCTTTGAAATGCACATAGAAAATCATTCTAAAATGATGATTGTTTTGCCAGCTGAATAGGGATTTTTCAAATCCTTACTTGAAAGAGCGAATGATCCAAGCCTTGAGTTCTTTCCTATCAATTTGTTCATCGCCATTGATATCCATTTTCTTGAGTAGTATACTCAATCTCCTTTTAGCCTCTTCAGGAGGTAAATGATCATAATCTTCTGCTTCCTTGTGACTTCCCAGTATGGCTTCATGATCGAATTCACTGAAATGTTCACCTTCTTCAGAAAAATGACTGTGATCTCTGGGACTGTAGGCTCCGTCAGTTTCACGTTCTTTGTGTAATTCGTTCGTATGGCTGTGCATCACTCCTGCATTAACTTTATTGAAGGGAAGAGATAATGAAATGAGGCTAGCCAAAAGTGTAACTAACAATTTCATCATTGTTATTGACATAGTATTTCATAGTTCTACAAATAACATTAATATGGAATATCGAATTTCACTTTGAAATTAATATTATTTTGGAAATGTCAAATATTCAAAATTTTATCACCACCCACCATTTATAATCTTCTTCTTCTGAAATTTTATTTTGATTCGTGCTTTGGCCAACCAAGTTTCATAATAATAAACAATAAAAAAATGAGGGTATGTAACAATTTATTTATTCATTTAATTGCAGACCCGGTGAACTTCGTTCCGTCTAACAATCAATGAGTGAGTATATTCAGGATTTTAAAATTAATACAAAATTATCAAGTCCAATTATTTATTATAATAAAACAACTGGGAATTGTTAGGAAGAGAGCACTCTTCAGTGAAACATCCTCTGTCATACGATATTTTTTGTTTTGTTATCAGACACAAGTACAAATAAAGTTGATGGTTTTCCGACTCGGGAACGTGCCACTTACAATTGACCTTGAGAAAAACATTCATTTTCTATATCATCTACTTCGTCTGGTCGAACTAACCATATAAGAATATGTGCGTGCGGTAGGCCTCATTTTTGTCATTCTATAGAGTACATCCAGGATTGAGTTTCTACAAAGACGCCTTGTTAAACAATATATACTGTATTTTTGCCTGAATACACATGCGGTGATGTCGTGTCGATCATTTGACGTTTGTTCGGGAAACAGCATGTGGCTAATTTCAACCCATTCTGGATTACACGTAAAAGTAATGAAGAAATCTAGCCGGTCGTAATGACAAACATATGTCATTGCATCTTGCACATATTCATGTATATAACGTGGACTACCTATGTAGACTACCGGTAGAATAGGTAATCGACAAATATTAGTTGCATTTCCATAAGTGCTAATTTGCTAATTGGGAATCCTAATTGCATTACGGTTTTGTCGGGAAAACTCAGATCTTCTGGTCGCGGCATCGTTAATAATTATATCGTCACATTACGTGACCTGTCAATTGCGTTTTATTTAAACAAATGAACTGTCAGTTGCGTTTTATTTTAACACGTCACTGTTATCACTAATGTTTTGCCTCTTTTATTATCATTTTTATTGATGAAATATATTTTGATATATATTATTTTATTATAATAAAACAACTGGGAATTGTTAGGAAGAGAGCACTCTTCAGTGAAACATCCTATGTCATACGATATTTTTTGTTTTGTTATCGACACAAGTACAAATAAAGCTGATGGACACAAAACAGCCAGATGGATTACTAAAATATCGAATGGCAACCCTGTACAAAAGTATATAGGTTATGTCAACTTGTGGAGGAGAGGAAGTATAAAGTTGCATTTTAAAATATTTTCAATTATGTCCCTTGTTTTAGCAAAAGTTAAATATGTCGTAAATGCAGCTAGTATAAAATCTTTAGAAGATGCATTTCTGACCTTGAGGTGACAAGTCAATCTAATTTTCTGATGTTGAAATTATTGTAGTATTTTCCTTAGGTTATCCTGTTACAACCAAATTCGTGGAAGAACAAAATTAAATCCTAAACCGAGACTGAGAAATCCAACTTGGTTCATCAAGAAACAGATAGCAGTTAGTAAAATTCTTCTTTCAACTCGCTTACTTCTCCGTCTTCAAAATATTCATCTAGCTTTTTGTGAGAATTCTTGCACCATTCAAAAGTCATATGCCCAAAATTTAAGTGACTGATTAGTTGACTAAATTATACCTATCTGAGCAAACTTACCAAACATTTCATTTAGCTTGTGGTTTTTCTTAATTCACCATTTATAATTTCATTTTCAAAAGGAAAGAGAAGAACTCGTCACTCCAGAGAATGAAAGCTTCATTAAAGAAGTTATTGAGGATAAGTACAACAATGAGTCAGTATCCCAAAAAGATATTTCAACAAATATCATTTGGACTCCAAGACTTCAAAGAACTGGAGTAATTGCAAGGAAGCTTGGAAGTTATCCTATGTGGATGAAAGATGGTAAAATAACTTCCACTACCCTACTTCAAGTAAGTATTTCTTAGTATTTTTAGATTCTGAACCACAGAACATCTTACAGAAGTGACGCTCAGCAGTACAAGAACCATAAACTTTCAACAATCTTGAGGTGATTATAGTATAATTGAATATTTCATTGAGTGGACGTGAACATGGTAAAATGAAACTAGTTTGGTTAAAATGTTAGTACAACATTCTGTTAAATTATTGGAAAAATGACATTGAAAACCTCCAACACAGAATATAGACTCTAGAAACTTTACCCTTCAACATTTAAGTGTCGCTAGTTGAGTGACTTGTCTGTAAAGTGTTTTGTGACTGAACAATATAGGCCACATTTACAGGGCAATGAAGGATTTCTATGAACCAATGCTACATTTTGCATAGGTATATAAATCATTTTTAGGTTTTGGATAACCATGTCATTCGATATTATCCTCCAGAGCAATATGATCCACCGAGAAAAAGAATTGAGAAAGTTTATAATAAGAAGGGATGTTTACTCATAGGAGCTGATCCTGGAGACCCATCTCAGTTTACAAAAGAATACTGTGGCCTTTTTAGAGACTCTGGTGTGATCCCAAAGAAAGTTCTGGCAAGATTTTTCGTGAGCCCTGATGCAGCTTTACCATTAGGCACCCTCATAAATGCCATGCATTTTCAGGTCGGAAATGTGGTGGACGTGAGAGGAAAAACGTAATATTGATGATGAATGTATTCAGTTATATTGATATAATTTTTTTAGAATTGATCGCGGTTTTCAAGGCGTCATGAAACGACACGGTTTCAAAGGCATGCCAGCTTCACACGGGGTCACAAAAACTCATCGAAGAGGAGGTAATATTGGCGGAGGAGGAGAAAAAGGGCGTGTTTGGCCAGGAACAAAGATGCCGGGTCACATGGGCAACAGATATCGAATCAACCGAGGTCAGAAAATATTGAGAATAAATACAAAGTACAATATAATTTATGTTGGAGGACAGCATATTCCTGGAGAGACGAATTCTATTGTTTACATTTATGACACCAAGTTACCACTACGAAAGCCTACGAAACCGCTTCCATTTCCTACGTTCGTAGGTGATATAGATGAAAGTGTGCCTGAAAATCTTTACGATGAAAGCATGCACGATTTTTCTCAATCTAGTATTTTGTATGATGAAAATGAATAATCATCTCTAAATTATAAAGTCAAAAAGTAAACGTTCATTTGATTGGTATTCTTAATAATTCTTCTCGCTTTTATATAGAGCAACTCTGAGGGTGGTCCAGTATCGTCAACAGTTGAAATAGATCTGGTGTTGTGGCCTGCAAATTACTCTTTGATTAATACAATCTTACAGCTATTTATATCGATACCAAAATAATAAAAACAAAAAGTATATCAAAACAGAAAATGAAAATATAAAGATGGATTTTAAAGGTAAAAAAAAAGTTCCACAAAACAGTCATTCTCACAGCTGTATCAGAAGTCATCTCGTACATATTCTTAATTAATGACGACAGGTTATCAAGTGTTGAATTCTTGCTGTATATCATTGCATTTCAACCTGTGTGGCTTGATTGAGCTTGAATATTACGGGAATGAACTAAATCTACATACAATGTTGTCCTTATTCGTTCTATAGATACTTCTGCTAGATACCTGTGTCTCAATTGTCTTGAAGATGATACCATGGTGATTGAAACACGTGTTGAGATGTTAAAAATAACTGTTTGGTGTTGGAAGACAACTCCAGTAATATTTATTACTACACCAAAGGTCCCAAACTGTGCATCACAAGTATCTATCTCAACAACTGAAATGTCTCCATGAGACAACTTCTATGCAGTCAGACCTCCATTGTTAGAAGGAAGTTAAAAAAAGTTCTACAACCTAATGCGAGAGAAAACAGCTCTTTATCTGGATGTCTAAAAACACTATACTAGTGATGGAATTCCTTACTTTGAGTGGACAGTTTTCAATAATATGAATTCAATACCCACAGTATTAAGCAAATCCTTCAATGAATAAATTCATTTATCTGCTACTCTGAATATTTCCTCAACATTATGATGCTTTTTGACTTCAATATCTACGAATAGATGTATGTACTGTTAGTGAGATATATTTTTGCATTGAAGGACGTTTTTTTTTTCGCCGATGAGCTCTCTTCCTCTCTCACACGATAGTCTTTAGAAGTCGAAATTGTTCTAGCTAAAGATTGACAATTCAATACAAATTGTTTATATCAAAGACCTGTCTGAAGAATGATATACGTCTTGTAAACCTGGTTAGTAAATAAATATCTAAAAATGAAGTATTCATTTGATAAATTGAAAGGGTTATATTTTTTGGAGTAATTAATTTTTGGGAAAGAAAGTTTGTGGTTTTCCACTACCCCATCTTAATACAAAAAAATGTAGAATGCAATCAATGTCAAAAGAATTAATTCTATACATAGATGTGTAGATCATGCAAAGAAGTAACTTTCAGACAGAACCTAGAAAAAAAGCCCTTCTGAAACAGCTACTTTCATATAAACATTCAATTACAAGAAAGAAAAATATCTTTCGAAACAAATAATTTTTTAATATGAGCACTAAATTATACAAAAAAAAACTTTTCTCCACTCAGTATTCCAAACATTCGTTATGGAATTGAATCAGATATCATCCACAGGATTCCTTCACAATATATCAAGATGGAGTAGTAGAAAGCCAAAAACTTTCTTTCATTGAATAATTTGTGAATTTTCATAAAATATCGGTCAATTCAATCAATGTTACAAGTCCAAATTAGATCAGTACTCAAATATTCAGTACCTGCTGGTTGTGGAAAAATATATCTTATGTTTTTCTGTATACGTATATTTGTTTTTTATGAAAATATGAAATTATTTTACACGTTCTCTACAAAACAAACCATTTTTCTAGATATCAGTTCACTAGTAAATATATTACTATATTACACCTCAACATAACGATCAAAACTAAAACGAATTCACGATAAGCTTCTCAGAGGTGTGACACAGCCGAAATATGAGATATGATTAATCTTGTAATATTTACATTCATGCCCCAACTAAACTTTTACAGTAACAATAAAGCTTGAGATGGAAGTCGGTTATGCAGGAACTCTGTTTTCCATACAGATTCAGCCTGCTCACAGTTCCCATGATGGCAAACTTTTTCAGCTTTTCCAGTTTTCTAACGGTAACTTCAAATATTCCCTCGCCTGGTAACGTCCTCAAAGTTATTATATAATCTTGAATTTTATTCTTGCCCCTTATTGCGCTTCCGTGTGTCATCAATCTTGTGTTCAGTACTGCGTCGAGGGTTAACGTGGCACATTGTGCGTAACCCTTCAACCGACTGTTCATGTCGTCCACTGCAAACAAGGCCGACTCGATAACGACGCTAGCGTTGTTTTCGATTTCGATACTCTGCTGACACGTACACCAATGACTCGAAATTCCGACATCTTCACAAGTCCGGTCTTTACTTATCTGCCTGAAAAAGCTAACACCCCTGGATTGATCGACTCCTTCCAAGTATTCATCCTTCATATCAGACGGATTGATCAGATCTACCAGTGTTTCATGTAAATCAAATGGAGAGGTGAGTCGTCTTGTATTCCTCTTCAAATTGTGGTATGCTCTCTGATATTGATTTTCGAACCCGTCCGGCAACACCATCATTACGAATGGCAGTCTTTCTTCCATCATTCCCTGGAAAGTTTGTCGAATTCCGCCCCATCTTATGCCATGGTCGCTCATGAAAATCAACAGAGTATTTTTCAGGTATCCCTCTTCTTTGATGGTTTTGAAAAATGTTTTGTAGGCTTCATCGCCCAACTTGGGCTTATTCAAGTAATCATGTGATAAACTTGAGCTCCAAAAGAATCCAAAGTAAGGGAGCTTATTTCTCTCCATGGTTCTTTGAATTTTTTTGACGTATTCAAGTAAATCAATGTAAATCAGTCTACCACCTTCACATTCTTCCACGTTGATTTCATGAGAATTTCCGATTTCATTCTCACTCCATCTGTTGAAATAGTTATAAGCGTAATCCACGGTCTGCTTACGAAAACCTCTTCGTTGATAATTAAATAAGCCCATCCATGACGAATCTTCTCCGTAAACAGTTACATAATTTTTCTTTTTGTATTCCTTCCATACGAAGGAACAATTATCGAAATAATGTTTGGAGGAAGGCCAACAACTTTTCGTGAGTTCTTCTTCAGACATTCCTGTTAACACTGGAATCAAATTCGGAAAGGTATTATCCCCTACTTTGTTATAACCCAGCATCTCTACAACCCCAATTTGCTTCAGGTAATCCACAGTTTTGGGCATTTGTCTATGCAGGTTCAGTCTAGAAACGCTGTCCAGCCCAATCACAAGAATATTCATGAGGCCAGTGTCATCTACTGTCCCCTTCGAGAAATGTTTCACTGGGACGAAGGAAAACATATCTTTGTATATGGTTCTGTTATCATGCACGCAAATAACTTTAACGAACTCTTCCCGGATATCGACACTTTCGCTGAAATCATAACAATTGGTACTGTATTCCATTTTATTATCATATTCACCTTCTTTCGGTTCTTTTCTCCAGATTGTCCTGTAACAGCATTTCAAATCATTTACATCGATTATATTGTAGGATGCCAGAGAAGAATTCAGTAAATAAAGTGATGTATCATTCGATTCAAATAGAGGTGGAATTCCATTGTTACAATTCGATGGGGTTGGTTCTTTTATATATTTCTTCACTCCATCACTAAATGGATTCATATCTGGTATTCTACATCCAGGTGTATTTATGACGAAACCGGCGAGATAATTTTTGTTTGAGTTGTTGTTCCTCAATAATATTTCATTGGGTGGGTACAACTGAATCTGGAAGACATCAGCGTAAAATAGCATTGCCCCACATAGTAGCAAAATCCAAAATGCATATGGTATCTTCAGTTTGGTTTCATTGACTTCCATTCCATTGAAAATTCTTCTGAAAATGAAAAAAATATCGATAAGAAACATTCAACTTGATTGTTTTCAATGTTGACATGAAAATAATTTTTTCTATACTACGAATGAGAAATACTTCTTGACAAACGTATCTTTTGAATTGGTGTCATCATGATACGATGTGAGTTGATTCCAATTACTAGTTTCAATCCATACAGTGTGTTAAAAGTTTATAAAAAAAAGCGAGTGTGCTTTAGACCACACCACTGAAGTAAAACTACTTTAGCTCCATCTATATGCTTGTATATTGTTTATATATGCATGTATTATACATATATTAATTTTCTACAAAGAATTGAATTTATTATTGGTTTTCATTGAGAAATAACATGTTTCAATAGATTTTTCATTTTAATTAAACATCTTCATTACCGGATACATCAGTAGTTACTGTAGTTGGCTGTAAGACAGAGCCAATAGGCTTATGGTATGAGAAATAAGAAACATATGTTTCAGAATGAAAATTAGAAAGATATCTGGTGAAAACTGCATCGATTCTTTTTCCATGTCTTGTGGTAGGCTCATTTCACTTATTACTCATTTGTAGTTCTAATTTATCTTGTAGAAAGTTTACCTCCTCCTGCTAAAATTAGTGACAACGTTTGATAGTTTTCTCCTTATTCTTCGGAGCCTACTTGACCGTAAATGTGTGCTCATACCTCTCTCTCTCTCTCTTTCCCCTACAGTAATATACGAAATGTAACTCTCTTTCTATCTTCATTAACTTATACCTCCCTCTCAACTTCCGTTCGCCTCTCCTCGCTTAAGGCAGTAGTTATTGGGTTTGAACTACTTAAAAACAAATACGATGTGTTTTTGGATTTTCAAGAAACAATTCATTGTGATATTTTCACTAAACAGTTTTAGGAAAACGTAACACGTGCAACACGCCTAAAGAAGGTATTGCATAGCGAAATACGTGTTGCGGTTTTGTAAACTGATTTTTGGAAATCCCACAATGAAGTGTTTTTTTCAATCAACCATAAAAATAGCTAAATTAGAGTCATGAGCAATAGGCTCAAAGTGAATTTGAAGAAAAATCAAAATATTCTTATCACCTCTAACCCAAGGTGACGACAGAGTCAGCTGGGCACTTCATTTAGAGATCTTAGCAAAAAAAAATATCTATTTCGACTTTCTTCATTCGGTGATCATAGAACATGGTTGATTCACAAGTTCTTAGATCCTCTAACTTTGAATTGTTTCACAGACAGCTGATGTAATGAAACTTCTGTAATGTACATATAATACTCATCTATAAAAGATAGCTCTGGGAATTATAGCAAGAGGAGCAGAATTCAGAGATTCCTGCCATCCTCTTTTCTTAGGCTTTGGGATTATTACTCTACTCACTATATTTATCAAGTGTACCCTGATGGAAATCCATAAAAACGGACAATAATTCTACCCATTATAGTTTCAAAATAAATGAAATTTTCATGTAGGTAGGTACATTGTATTTTTACGTATTGTTGGTTAATTTTTATTTTATTAATTCAGGGAGCATAGGGAGCGTTTTTAAGGAAAAAATGTTGAAATACATCGTGAATCATGTTCGAGAACTCGGAAGAAGTGTTAGGTTAGGTTAGGTCCTAAGTGAGTGGGTCTATTCGACCGTCGAAGTGTAGTTGGGTATTTTTTATTTTTCATGTGTCGGACATATGCCACTATTGAAGTTGAGGGTGAGACGACTTCCAATTGAAACTTTCATGAAAATCGATCGAGCTTCAGAGAATTTGAAGGTAACAGTCTATATTTATATTCAAGGATTGAATTATATGGCTTCTTTAGAGACCATTTCCTATAACGACAAAATCTTATGGTGGGTTGAAATTATATAATTGAGAAAGTCATACCCTAGGAGCATACATAATATTCCTTTGAAATTACTTTTTTGAGATTCGTGTATACATGCACATTCCACAAAGAAATTCTTATTGAATTTTAACCTGATGTAAATATGTGACACTTGGCACTATATATACTTAAGGAATTCAAAAATATCTTTGAAAAATATTTACCAAATTTTTCGTTGCTATCTTCTGATCCACGGACATTTGCGAACAGTTTTCATTATTGTCGAAATGAGTTTATTGAACAACATTTCAAGTGGATTTATGAATAGTAGAACTAGAGGAGACTGAAAAGTCTGCCAACTGGCAGCCGAAGGAACCGTTCAATATTAAAATAGAGCGCCGTCGCATCGCGACGCATCGAAACCAGATATACTGCTCACCGCTGCAAAACGCCATATTCTCTACCCTAAAATGTATCTCAGTCTGCAGTTTCACTCTGCCCCAAAAAGGGACACTATTACTCAAGTTATATTTCAATATTTACATTTGGAAATAAATTCATTCGCCATCTTGGGCGGTTCGCCATGTTGGATTCATATGACATCATTTTATTTTTCGTATTCTTTTCAACAAACCCTTTCATTTAATATCTATATCGTGGAAGTGCATTGAAAGTAACTAGTTGGCCGTCTTGGCCACAAAATAGTAAGCAATTCCAAACCAAATGTGCATGCAAAATTTCGGCTCAATCAAATTAGGAGCGAAATAATAGGGAAATCGTTCATCACAGGATTAAAACCGCCTGTTTCCTTGGTTGTTAATTAAGCATCCACCCGATAGATGTCGATGTTATTTCAATGTTGAAATCCAGCCGCGGAAAGTACGGAGTTTGCAATTCAAGGGATAGACTCCGATTTTCGAGGAGAAATAGAAGTAGGTGCTTGTAGGAACGAAATAATTCATCTTATCAGACTGAACACATGCCATAAAGTCTGAAAGTAGACCCTTCATCAAACAATTCTTATTTGCAATCGGTAATCTGTACTATATAACTAATTTGTACCACGATAACATTTATTAAAAAAGGAGTACTTGATATGGTATGTAAGCACATTTGTTTACATCAAACACATTCACGTAAATTAAATCAAGGCGTGAACTATAAATAACTTATACTTGAAAATTGACTCGCTGCAATGAAACATTTAGAAGATTCAAAATTTCTCACTTCTTTGGACAGTTCTCGTCAGCCACTCTAACAGAACTATGAAGAAAGGCAACAGATCTCCAAGAAACCAAGTTCTAAGAATCCTGTCAACGTAAAAAAATAAGATTACCTTGCAAAGTTTGAAACCTTAGCTACGTTAGTTTTGCATATTGAATTTCTGGTACGTGAACAAATTAATTTGAAGGTATCGAACTTCAAAACTCATACGCATACACTATAATCCTAAAACTCATGCACTGTGAATCATTTGTGATTGATCGAGCTGAGATATGATTGCGAAGAAACTGTTTTTTACACGCTTTATATCAGCTACACCTGTATGTATGTATGTTTGTTTGTAACTATCAAGCTCGGGATCTGTACTGACAGAATTATCGGCATTATTGGTTGATCTATTCGCGGGCTGATGGCGCTGTACGTAACCTCATTGATATTTCTTGATCTATTCGCGGGCAGATGGCGCTGTATGTAACTATCAATTATTGCTTGATCTGTTTGGGGCCAGATGGCGCTGTACGTAACTATCAATTATTGCTTTAGCCATTCGCGGGCAGATGCCGCTATTCGTAACCTCCTTGCTAGGTTATTCAAAAGAAAATCAAAATAAAAACATATTTTAAGAGTTATAAGTGTTAGCGAAATTTTGTACTAAAGATAAAATATTTACAATTACCCGTGATTCAGTACAGAAAAAAGTTTTGAACGAAACGGAAGATACATTTTAAAATCTAATTCGATTATTTGAAAGCAAACCAGAATATGGATTTCAACAATGAAAACTTTATCGTAAATTGTACACCTAAAAAATTCAGTTACTCAAATATTTAAAAAAATCGAAAAATTAGAATCAAGGTGCTTGACATACATATCAAATCAAAAGATTGATTTGAAAAATAAAATTATTCACTGAAAAAATATTTTTAGTCCATTAATATTTTGAATGAAACTTCAAATCAAAACATCAAGACATAATTTTATAGTATTCAAATAACATTTTATTGTTAGATTTTCACTACACAGTTAACTATTCAGTGACTGTCTCACAATAAATATATCAATTGAAATGTAATCCTTAGATTAATATACAATACCACACGATTGAAAACAAGGAATTAATACATATTGAAACTAAATACATTTTTTCTTGAGTACAAATTTGGTTGAAAATCAATGAAATAAACTATGCTAAATGGATAAAAAAGTATAGATATAATCGTTATGAAGATATTGAATATATCGATAAACTAGTATATAGTAGATGAAAAACTTATTTGCATATGGTGATCTCATTTCTTTTTTTTATAAGAAGATTAAATCTTCCTCTTGAAGATGATCACTTGGTGATTGAAACACGTGTTGAAGTGTTGAAAATAACGGTTTGGTGTTGGGATAAAACTCCAGTAATATCCATTACTATACCAAAGGTTCCAAAATAGTTTAATTGGCTCAACTATTCGACTCTAACAATCCAAGGACAACCTGTGCTGAGGTATCTGAAAATTATCGTGTATTATCTGAAATATTATAAGTTGTCGTTGTTCTGAAACTTACAAGGCACAAACTCCTTTTTGGTAGATTCTAATCTGTTCGCATCTGGTGTTATCTTGTGTGACATAGCTCGGTGCGATGACGATGCCAACTTTTTACGGCGACGGCTTCAGACGTGATCTGTTTTTCCCGAGCCTGGTCCGGACGTTCCGGAACCGATATATTTTATGGGCGATGTCCAGCAGCAGTCAATAAATAGTTGCGATCAGTTACCCCTGCATGCTTCCCCATAGATGCGACTGATACGGGGGATTGTGAGAGATGAAATATATTCTTATGACACCATAAATTCATTCGTTCTAATTATTTTCTCCTTTAGCCATTCCCGATATATTGTTCGACAATATGAATAATTGATTTGTTTTGATGTCATACTTTCGATACTGTAGTTGGATAAAGATATTGGCTGTTTCATCGAGGTACATAATATACATTTCTGAAAAATGAATTTCAGTCTTGACTATAGAAAATATATTTTTGTAAATGTTTTCATCAGTTCGGAACGATGATTTTTTCAGTGGTGTTCATTGAGATCTATTGCTAGGATATTTTTTGAACCAATCCAGTACTTTGTTGAATGTTATGTATGAGGACCACTCATACATAAGGTAAGCAATTCCTGAACAATCCAAATTATCTCCAGATGAATATGACCAATAACAAGGACCTCTACAAACTAGTACAGGGACGAAAAGATGGGGAAAAAATGCAATAAGGTAATCAGGTAGCAGTAGTTTCCAAAGACTTGCACAAGTCAGACGGCTCCCAAGTTTTCTTTTCTCAGAATTTTTACTTTTACAATGATATCACGAATAACTTTTACATTGAATTTCTCTCTATGGTCTGCAGTTGACTGATTTTATGATTTAGAGATACGAATGGGTCTCTAAAAAATTGTTTCAACTTATGTGTGTAGAAAATTCAATCTCTTTTCGATACGAATCGTACAAACGGGTAAATCCCAGAGCCCAGAGAAAGAACAGACGATACGCTGGTGTCAAAAATAGCTTTATAATTTGTAACGCGTCATTTGACGGCATGAAGGAATATCTCAGGCACGCATCTTGAGATTTAAATTTCCACGGCAACCCTCTATGAATTATTCATATCGGAATACACGAGCAATATAGAGATATCGATGCTGCGGCCGACTGAGATCCGATTTTAATTACTTAGGTTTCATTTACACGCCACTGTACCACTATTAATCACTTCCACCGCGCTAAGGATTTGATCTCTACACTTGTCGGCCTAATGCCGCGTTCACGCCCTATTTAGGTAAGAGAGAAAAGTTTATTGACTCAATTTGCACTGCATTTGAGGGGTTTCGAATGGGTGTTTATTAGAATTCGTCATCGGCTTACCAAAAAGGGAATTGAAACTCTCATTTCAGTGGATGTTGCAAAAACATTCGAATTTGAACCTGTAAACCTTTCAGCAATATACGAAGATATTTTTTTAAAGGATTTCATTTCGACATTGACAGAGTGGACTCAGTAAACAGAATCAATGAAATTGAATTCAAATATATTTAAAATAATTGTTTCGTCGACTTCGGAATAGCGGATGTAATGATATCCTTTGCGTAGCTTGATCAGCGAAATTGGGTTTATAACTCCTCTATCTCCGAAGATATACTGGTTAGTTTTCGACTTTCTCGGCACGGGTTGGTTCTTTTTTTGTGAAGTTTCCAGGTTATGGAAACAGCGAGGACAACCACCAGAAAGGTTATGTAGACTCTTGCAAAAAAACTGAGTACTGCGGAGTGATTTGAAGAAGCTTTGCATATTATTGAATTGCATGTACATCTTCTTTTGGACGGTGAATTTTATCAGCGGCTTTTTTCTCAAATTCTGGAATGGTTTGTGAGAGGTCTGTCACAAGTCTTTTTTGTTCCGAGCCTGAAGTCTCCAAAGCTGACTCCACAGTTGAATGGAATTTCAACAAGACTTGTCTTTTCTATCAGAATGAATTCGTTTTTTTGGCTACTGTTAAGCCTTTCATTTGTGATTCCAAACGATCAGAATAGTTATGTATATCTTTGATTACAGATCAAATTTACATTTGATAATGAATTGTCTAACTTCTTGATTGACAGTGAGAAGGGTTATTATATCATTTTAATCAAGTAACTCTTTTGGGATCTCTAAGTTACCATTTAGAAGTTCTGCACCAAATTCAACAAACAATTTAGTAGTAGATTTAAGAAAAGTATCTGAGGTTGGTTTAATTGAAAATTGAGAAAAGCTACAAAATGAGTGAAAGATATTTGTTGACAGTTATCATAAATCATCGGAATTGTGTCTACTATTTCAACTAATTTCTAATATTTCTCAAAAAAGAAATCTATATGACAAAGTTTATTATTCAAATAAGCCGTATATTCGTCAATGGCTTAGGATGAGAATTTGATCAATATACCGGGTAGTGTTAAGAATCGACGTTATTATTGCTTAGCTTGCCCAAATTTAAATTTTTGTAGGTTATCGTTCATATCAGAACGACAGCTGGTTTACGGAAAAACTCATTATTTCAAACTCAATATTCCAAAGTTAACAAAATGAGTTTAATGTTGCGTTACCTT